TATATGTCATTGTCATGGTTTGATTAATGGACATATATGAATGAAAATACAGTTACTTTATGTGGAAAGCAAAACCAGTAACAATAGTTTTTATTATAATTTATTTAATTGTCTATAAAAAATATAAATTAATCCAGTCAACAGTTTGGCTTAAGCACATATGAATTTTTAATGTTAGGATGTCAATATAAAATGAGATATTGACGGTATTTATTGATATGTTAATATGTAACAATAAATGTTACTTAATTTGTCAATATCTGATCTTCTATTTACACATAGTGCAAGTTATCTATATTAGGTTCTTGTCTTTCATCGTCGAACAATTCTTCTACATAGTTCTTCCAGGTCCTAAGCTTTTCTTGTAGATCGGCTATTATTTCACCATTTGCGTTGCATAGGAGATTGGGATGTTTTCTTTTTTGTGTACCTGTCAGTTCCTTTATCTTTTTATGAAGGTTAAAAGTGTCATGTTTGAGATGTAGTTCTTCGGTTTCCTCGCATTTTCTTGTATAAACATTTTCCTTTGCAGTTCTTATTTCTTTTCTGATCAACCCTAAAATCGAGGGTTGCCACTTCCGCCATCTGCACCGTACCGAAGCTCCGCTTCTCCGCCGTGGCCGCCGTTGTGGACTTTATCCGTAACCCTGGACAAGGGACCCTAAACAGGTACTAGTTTCCCGGGTCAGGAAACCCCCGGAATCTGCGGAGTTAAAACGCGGAGTTAAATCTGCGGAGGAAAAACTTACTCTTGCCTTATTTAGGAGAAATCGCTAAGAAATTTGCCAAAAATATATAAAAAGGGTACGCCCCTGCACCCTATTATCTTCAGTTCCAATTTAAAACGTTTCAAAATATGTGAAGAATATTATTTTCATCTTAATTAATAAAAACCATATTATTTAAAAGACGCTGATGACCTGAAATCTAAGTTTAAAAAATATACATTTACCTCGAAAATTATAAATAAATGTATCTTGATGTTTCTCTTTATACACCAGTAGTACAATAGAGTTAGCCAAAAATATTATTAAAAAAATGGAATGAAATCAAAGTGTTTCACAGGCATCCCTCTAGAAGAATTTCTACTAGCTGTCGAAATAACTTTAAAGTCAACCTATTCCCTATATAAAAAACAAAATCTTCCAACAAACATATAGACGTGCTATGGGTGCTAGCATATCCAGTACCATCGCTCAACTAGTTTTAGAGCACCAAGAGAAAATTGTTCTAAATAACAATCAGTTTAATATACTTTTTTCTATCGATATATTATAGATGACTCTTTGAGCACAGCAACAGAGGATAAAATTGATATTTTGTTAAACGAATTCCAAAATACCAAAACCAAAAACTAATTTTAAGGTTAGAAGTTAAAAAAAATGTAAAAGCAACTTTCTGGACCTTATAATATATAGAAAAATAGAAATATAATAATTTCATGGTAGACACCAAAAGACTTTGTCGTCGACATATTTGAATTTCAACTTTTATCATCCCTTGTCTCAAAAGAAATGTATAGTTTTTGGCCTCGCCGACAGATCTATTACATTATCCGATTCTATTAATAGACCTTAGGATATAAAAAAAGCAAAAAAATTCACTAGTTCTTAATTCATACCCACACCACCTTATTAAAAACACTTTCAAATCGCGACTGCATACATTTTACAATAACAAGAATAACAACAAATAACATGGAAAAGAAAAAACTATATGTCTCTTCCTTATACAAAATATTTTTCAAAACAACTTGTAAATCTTTTATGTAAACATAACATTACAGTTTTTCATTAGGGACACAATATTTTGAAAAATAATTTTCCAAAACTAAAAAAACCCCTAATTAAAAAATTCGCAGGCTGTTTATTATGAAATTCCCTGCTCGAATTGCAATGGATCTTTGATTTTTGAAAATAGTTGTTTGCTGTTCATGATATTATATTTAGGTATACTAATATTAGGAACATTTTTGAACCCAGTACCAACCATATATAAAAGTAATGTTATTTATTTAATACCGTGTCTAGGATGTCAAAATAGCTACGTTGGCTAAACATAACAAAGGCTAAAACAATGCACCACGCGACATAAAAGTGATTGCCGCTTGGGAAAAAATACTTATGCAGTATTTAAGCACTATGAAAACACCGGTTATACGCTAGACTATAAGAACTATAAGAAAGCTCACATTTTGGCACATACTGATAACTACAAAAGTAGATTATTTCACGATATATCACATTAACTAAAATAAAAACACTTTAAATTTTAAAACGGACAGTTAAGTAGCATAACATAATAACATATTGAACAAAATTTATAAATATTCAAAACAGCCAATATTCACACTAATAACAAACTAACCTTAATAATTCATTAAAGAAATATCTTTTTATGTAACAATAAAACACTGAAAACTTTGTTTTTAAACTTCTACAAAATTTATTTTATTTTAAAACTTATCACTACAGCTGTTTCGCCTGATTGCCTTTCTCAAGTGATCTATTTTTGTAAATAGAAGTAAACAACGGATATAACGAACAAACAATTAATAAAATGTTAAATCAAAAACTACACAAGAAAGCCTTGAAATTAGTATTTCCACCACCAGAGAAAAAACCCAGTACCTTCTGCTCGATTACATATACAGGCAAAATAACAACAAAAATTGCCAAACACATAGAAAAGAAAGGAATAACACCAGCTTTCCGAACAAATAACAACCTAGGCAAATATATTAAAAATAACAAGAGCCAAAATAAAAAACACTTAAATAGTGGTGTGTACAAACTTCAATGTGGCGGACTGCACAAAAACTTACATCGGTCAAACTGGTAGAAACTTTGATAAACGAATAACAGAACATAAAAGGGCTTTCAAGAATGGAAAAACAAATTCGACATACGCACTTCACCTTCTAGATCATAATCATTCTTTTAATGACAAATCTTGAGCTATCTTTGTTAGAATCTATGTAAATCAACAAATTAAAAAACACAGATATAATTCTAAATGACAAACTTAAGACAAACAGTTCTCCCCTGTAGTGATAAGCTTTAAAATAAAATGAATTTTGTGGAAGTTTGAAAACAAAGTTTTCAGTGTTTTATTGTTACATAAAATGAATTTCCATCAAGTATTGGTCGAATCCATCAAATATCTTTTTTCTAACGTTTTTTATATTGTTATTTTTACATTTGAAGTAATTTTAATATTTTTTATCATATTACTGTAACGAACGTGCTTCCTCTTCTTAGGGTGCCTGTCCGTTTCGAACGTTGGTGATCATTCTGGCTACGATGACTTTGTTGATTGGTTGCGATACGAAATAAGTGTGTCTTTCTATACATACCATGCTCTCAGGTTATCTGCCGTCTACAAAATTAAGTATCTGCCTTGATTTCTCATTTTATATCCCAAGTACTACTGCTTACGGCCATTCACGATTTTTACCAAAAACCAGTAATTCTTCATTGGTAACTTTGTCTGTCCATTGTTTTTTCAGGATCCTTCTGTATAACCATAGCTCAAAAGCCTGAAGTTTTGATAGAGTTTCCGCCTTCAATATCCACGTTTTTACTTCGTACAGAAGCACTGAGTACACGTAACATTTAAGGAGCTTTATTTTTGTTCAACAACAAAGTTCAGGAAAGTTGTATTTAAGTATATTCTCACTGCCCTCTTTTTATAATGTGGTAATGTAACATCTTGCATAAACCATATATTTCGCCTTAAGTTTGATGACAATTCTTTAAATAAATCAATAAAATCCTTTTATAAAAAATGTAAACAAATCTCACCATTCAAATTACAAGATAATTCGCATGTTCGTAAAAACCATTCGCCAACTATAGATCAATTGAACCTGAGCAAGCTAGTTTGTGTAAATTGTTAAAAAATACAATAGTAATGTTGATCAAAGCATGAACTTAGGTAATTTCACTCTTCACACCTTTACGCATTCTAGATATACCAATTCCACAGTTGTATATTTTCAACATCTGCCACTGTTGGTCAGTTGGTCTTTAGTAACGCTGCTACATATTAGTTTTACAGTTCTCCCATTGGCTGGGGGTTTAACTGAACTACTTGAATTATACGTCATTTATACACGGCTTTCAATTTTGTTTTAATTTTTAGTATTTTAATTTCATAGTCAGATTTCTTCTCCTTTTTACAGTATTGATAGTGTCTGGTAGACCATTTTATTGTAGTCAACCACCCACTGTCCAATAGATTGTTTAGTCTATTTCTTTCATTCACACTTTATGTCCACTTTATTTGCTCTTAAACTTACAACCATATTATTACAGACTGGCGTGAGTGTGAGATCTGGATTATGCCATTTAGTGAAATCAAAATATTGTATTTGAATTTTAATATGTTCATATCACATATCCATGATTGTGACAACCCATCAAAGCTGTCATATGTCACATGTTAGCTTAGTATTTCCGTTAAATACCATTCTCTCTCCGATTGCCGACAAGAATATAGAGCGTTAGAATAATTTTAATAATTTTAAACTGTTTGTCCTTGTGTTAATGTAGTGTTATGTACAATTTATGTCCACTCGCATGTGTATTATATTCTACGCTTTCTGGATAGCCCAAATTTGACGAAGTAAGTCTAAAAAGTTAATCACAAAAAACTTTTATCATCCATTATCTTCGAGTTTTTATCTATATTAACTTTCTTCATTAAAAAAAATGTTTCTTGACTTATTTCAGATGCCCCTGATGATGCTGTAGATAGCGAAAGTACTTGGGCAAGATTTGACTAAACATGTGCTCGATATTTAAAGTTCATATATATATATATATATAATATATATATATATATATATATATGTGTGTGTGTGTGTGTGTGTGTGTGTGTATGTGTGTAGTGTGTGTGTGTCTATGGTACATTTTGAATATAACTAAAAAATTTGGTGCATTTTAGAGGCGTCATTTGCCGTGTCCCAGAATTGTTTGGCCAAAGAGCTTGAACCAGATATGGTCGTCTGCGTATGCAACGACACTTACTGTGATGTTCTTGAACCCGTAAAACAACTTCCTTCGACCCAGTACGCCGTGTATACATCCAATATAGCCGGAGAAAGGTTCTCCAAAACGATTGCTTCATTTACAAGACCTATGATATATTCAAATTGCACTGTACCTGATTCCGACAGAATATGCGAACATATTGTTCATGTTGACTATGTTCTTTGTTCTCAAAAACAGAAGAAAAATCTACATGAGAGTATTGACGCTAAACAAGTGGAAAAAAAGATATATATTAATCCTAAAACCCGTTTTCAAGAAATTTTTGGTTTCGGAGGAGCGTTTACGGATTCTACAGGAATAAATATCAAAAATATGAGTCCTGAACTTCAACAATATATAATGAGGTAAATATGTGAAACATTTATTATTTTTTATTATCCTTCCAAGAATTACAACGTTTAAAAAATATGGAATATTCATTGCTGTTTATTACTTAAACACCAGTATGAATACTAGGAGAAGTATTTAGTTTAGAAGAGTTCATGTACTTAATATTTTGGGTATTTAATTTCCTAGGCACAATTTTTAAATATAAATTGTTTGATATAGTCATTGGCTCCTTCTTTACGTTATCTCTTACACCGGGTGCAATTAAACATCATTTATGTAAACTACGCAATAACTTATCACCTGGATTAGAGGGTCATGTAACCGATTATTTCGAAAAACAGCATGGTTTTATCGAAGGTCGTTCAATAATCACAAACTTACTTCATTGTGTGAATGATTGGTCATGATCTTTAAACAATCGGCATACTATCGATGTAGTCTACTTAGACTTCTCCAAGCTTTGGACTATGTTCCACGACGTCGATTACTATCAAAATTAGATTACTGTGGTATCCAGGGAAAGTTAAATATTTGGATTTAAAATTTTTTATGCGACAGATACTTCAGGATTTGTGTTGGAGAGCACTCATGAGATAAGCTAGTTAAGAGTGAAATCCCATAAGCATCTTGGATCTCTTGGACCATCTTTACTTTCCATTGTATACAGTGAGGTGTCCATTTACGCTGATAACACGAAATTATATTTGAATCAAACTATTAACCAAAATGTTCTTCACTATGATCTTACTGCAATATTGTTACCTCTCATAAATATCTCGAAGTGATAATTAATACTGACTTAAATTGGTCTGATCACATAGTGTTGTTTTGTAAACGTGCCAACTCGCAACTGTTTTTGATCCGTAAATTTTTTACACGTATATGTCTAATCTCTGTTAATAAACTTACTTAATATACGTTAGACTTATTTTTGAGTTTGCCAACACCGACTGTGGAATCCCGATAAAATCTTACTTCAAAATGTTCAGCGTAAACCTAAAGACAGTCATACGGCAGTGTAAGACATAATTATAGATAGACTATCCATGGCTCATCTCATGACATTCAAGCAGCAATGTCATCACTTTGTATTTTAAAACATAATTTTGGGAATCTAAACACCATATTCACTTAAAATCAAGGCGAACTCTTATATCCGTATTATTTTAACCATTTTTCTTTGTAGGTCATATTTTTCAGATGAAGGTCTAGAATACAATTTGGGCAGAGTGCCAATGGGTGGTACTGATTTTTCCAATCACTACTACTCTTACATGGACAGTGATGAAGAGGATTTAAATTGCATAGATCCCAAATTAAGACAAATGCAGCTTGCTCTTGAAGATTTTGAATATAAAGTACGCCATAGTTTAAGTATATTATAATATTCATTATAAAATACCATTATTATTGTCAATAATGCCACGTGGCAAGTTTAGTTTCGATTTTTTTATTACTTTTCTATTACTTCTAGCTTGTTACTTCATTCAGTCCCTCTTTCAGCATATTATTGCTAAACGACAACATATTTTCGAGAGATTATATGAATTGGCTAAATAAGTAAACGGTTAGCATATCTACCTTCGAAGGTTTTTGGTTGTAGGCTCGCATGCCAGATGAGAAATACTTTATTATTTACTAATTTGTAAATTAATTTTAAAACATAATTTGGGTTAAAAATAGCCAAATAAAGACAATGAAAATTGGTAGAAAATAGTCGAACTACAAAAATTATGTCGTCATAACCGGAGCAAAGATTGGGGGCGCGGCATGACGTGAGAGGTCAAATGTCAAAGTGTGCTTAAGTGGCTACCTACCTACTACCACCCCGCACAAGGAAATCAATGTGTTAGATAGAGAGCGTCCGAGAGAGCGTTTTATTAGAATATCAGAGAGAGATAGATAAATGTTGACGTTACAAGCGCCGCTCCAATATAGCCACCGTCATTACGTCGAAGTCTTCTTCTTTGTCAACCATTTTTCATCCACTCCTGAATGTAGGTCTCTCCTAATTGCTTCCATCTTTCTCTATCTGGTGCCAATCTAATCCACTGTTTGCCTGCCACTGCTCTTATGTCATCTACCCATCTTTTTTAAGGTTTCTCATGCTTCTTGTTGTCGTCCTTGGTCTCCATTCTAGAATTCTCCGTGTCCACCTGTTGTCATTATATCGGGCTACGTGACCTACCCAATGCCATTTAATTTTTGTAATTTCTGCCACAATATCCCTAATCTTCGTTCTACGTCTTATCTCGGTGTTTCCAATCTTGTCTCTTAGTGATATTCCAAGCATGATCCATTTCATTGCCCTTTGCGTCGAATTAATCTGTATTAACGACATATACCGTATTATACGACATGACTGTCATAGTTCAGCTTTTATCTGCTAGTCGTCACTAGTCATCCGCTATTTTTAATTCCACATTAATTTTTATTACATTGAGTATATTTTCAGCTTCAGTATATTTCATATATATTTTTTGGAGTATTTATTCAAGTATTGTGTATATCAAAGTTCTGTAGACGACGCCAGGTTCTATTACTATTTGTTGGGCTTAGTGTTTTCACAGTCATCAGTGTAAAAAAATGTTAGAGAAGATACATAGATAAGAAAAAACCGGTCTAATAGTCAAGGAAGACAAAATCAAATATATGTGCATTAAATGCAAAAGATACAAAATAAAATAAAATATAATATAACTTTGACAGAGAGGAGCGTTTTAAATATCCAGAAGTGACAATTACCGCAGGCAATGGTATTGTTAAAGAGATAAAAAAAAGAATTCAAACAGGAAACAGATGCATGTATGGCCATAACACTATTAAATCAAAGAGCAAAACAGGGACCTTAACAATCAGAACGAATATAACAATAATTAGGCCATTGTTCATGTGTTGGTGTAAGACGTGGACGCTGTAAGTTTCTCTGTAAGTTCTTCTGATTATGTTGAAGCTATTTTCTTATAATAGTTTAACCCATAAAATTTGGCTATAAAGCATGGATAATAGTTTTATCAAATGGATGTTGCCTAAATTTTGACATGAAAGTGTGGTGTTGACCTTTGCAGAGATTTTGCGAAACACATAAAAGATATTAAAATTTTCTTTCTATTTTGATAACTTATTGACGCGCATATCTTTGATATCATCAATTGCAGAAATAGGGTTTAGTGCCACTGGAACTGTACGCGAAAATAGAACAGAAAAGTGTCCTTTAGAAGATAAAAGAAATATGACAAGATATCAAAAAAGATATTTTTGTAGCTCTTTACAGTACTAAAATTGCGGCTGTAAAATAGAAAGATAATAATTTTGTCACCATATTATCTAATGAGCATGGAATTGAGTCAATCCAAACAGCAAGCCGATATTCAGCAAAAGAAAAACAAAAAATTCAAATAGATCAACCATTTGTAATTTCGCAATACAACAAATTTATGGGAGGAGTCGACTTGATGGACAACAACATTTCAAACTACAGAATGAAAATACGTGGAAAAAATTGTACTTTCCAATATAGATATGGATGGTGGATGTTTGTGTAACTAATGCTTGGACACTAGCACGACAATTTGGATATAAAAATGACAACTTAGAATTTAGAAGATGTATAGCTCGTACATTATTGTCTAATTATAGAAAACGAGCTCGTTCTACTGAACATCAAAATATTGCAATAATTCCTGTTCCATCCACATCATCACAGCATCTAATTATTACTGGTGCCCAAAGAAGAAGATGTCGTGTATGTTCAAATAAAACTACAAAAGCGTGCGATAGATGTGAAATTCCACTCCACGATAAGTGCTTCAAAGATTATTATACAAACTATTTTAGGCCTTAATAATATATTTTATAAATAATATATTTAAATTATGCCTACTTCATTGTTTTTATTTTAGGAAGTAAATGTTTAATTTGTTAGAAGAAAATAAAATAAAATGTAATTGCATAAAAGCCCAATGCACAATTTTTCTATGCAGTTTGACGTATTTTATTACGTTCTTAAGAGAATAATTTTAATATATTTGACAAAAATAGTTGTGGGCATAAATGTGTTACAGCAATTCCTATTATTACTAATAATTGCCACCGAAGCCACAATAGTGTTTTTTAAATATTTGTCTACTCGAAGATTACAAGTAGCATTTACATTTAACTAATACCATGTTTTACTTTATTATAGATTCCCCTCATACAAGAAGCGATAAAACTTGCCAAAGACCTTAAGCTCATTACTTCTACCTGGACCATTCCCAAAGCTTTTAAAGAAAATAACCTGTACAGAGGATCTATGGGCTTTGTTATAAATGACCTCTATCAGCTTATGGCTGATTATTATGTAAAATTTTTGGATCTATATTCGAAGTATGGAATTAGTTTTTGGGGTATCTCTACAGGAAATAAACCCTTCTTAGCCATGGCTGAATTTGCTGGTATTCCAGCTATTTTTTGGTTTCCGGATGATTTGGTAACATTATATAATATATCATAAATACTTATTTTTTAAAAGACTTATACTGTTTAACTACATATTCTATTTTAACTATATTTTTATTCTGGATTACTAACAACAATCTTTTATGAAATTTTATTAAAAAATCCTTTGTAAAAGGTATTATTAAGAACCTAAACGGTCTAAGTTAAAAAGACACAACGTTTTCGGAATCCATATTCCATCATCAGTGTCTAAGAGTACATGAATGTAGCCACTAAATATATGGGTAAAAACCCGTTAACCAATAATTAATTACATTTAGTTTACAAATTTTCCTATTTTGGTTTAAGATGTTAAAGTTACCGTTGAATTAGGTGGTAACATGGCGACATATGACTCCACGTTGAAGTTGCTAGTCTTGAAACTGTGTCTACGAAGACTGTATGGGAGCACAGTCTTAGTATAGTAGTATAGGAAAATTTGTAAACTAAATGTAATTAATTATTTGTTAACGGGTTTTTACCCATATATTTAGTAGCTACATTCATATACTCTTAGACACCGATGATGGAATATGGATTCCGAAAACGTTTTGTCTTTTTAACTTAGCCTGTTTGGGTTTTATACCCATCGCCTGGAACTCGTGCAAGATACGAGATAGACTGCATATCCAGCGGTGGTTTAGATGCCTGCAGTTCGGGCATAGCAAAAACGAATGAAAGGGAGAAAACAAAACAGGCACACACAGGCAATATTAGTATAGAAAACTGATCCTGGAAAAACAGAAGGTCAAGAGGGACCCTATCAGAAGGGAGGAGAAAAGAGTGGGTGAAAGCACTTAGGACCAGGAATCAGACAGCGTACGGGTAAGTAGGTTAAAGAAATAAGACCCATTTATTACGAAGTTTCTATAAATAAATGTGGGATGGTCGAGGGCTGCTCACGACGTTGCAGAGGTACTTGCCCGAAGAAAAGGTTATGACATGATTCTATTTCAGGAGCCCAACGTAAAGTTGGTCTTACGACAGGGATTATTAAAGAGAGGAACTCTGACTTGGCCGTATACCTGGTGAATCGAGGAGCTGACATTACCAGACACCCATTAAGAATGGTTATATTAAGGTATCTGTCGGAAACCTGGTAGCATATAATTGCTATGTTTCACCAAATATCCCGCTTAAAGTATAGGAAGAGTACATTGACTTAATTATGCAAGAGGCTAGGATGGAGACTGTACCGGTCATCATAGCTGGTGACCTGAATGCGAAGGATCGTCTATGGAACCCACGAGTGCAAGATGGGAGAGGGAAATACCTATCAGAATAGATCCACGCTATGGGACTTACCGTGTTAAACGACGGTAAGGCACCTACATTCGTGAGAATTAATAGTGAATTTATTCGGGATATCACACTGGCTTCAACGACATTTTCAAACAGGATCGTAAGCTGGACTGTTTTGAAAGAAGAATCGCTGAGCTTACATAAATATGTGAGTTTTAAAATAGCTAGCAAAATACAGAAACGTAAAAATGGGAATATCAATCTGAAGAGATATTTAAATGAGGAGGTTTTTGCAGATGTTTTTCGCTTGATTGATCTAGGATGTGAGGATGTGTGTGAGTTAATTAAGGGTCTGAATAATGCAAAGGAGTTGGCTTGTGTAAGATCAAATGGGAGGCACAACAGAAAACAACCATACTGGTGAAACGAGCAGCTTGAACATCTGAGGCCAAACTGCATCAGAGTAAGAAGAGAGTGTAAGAGCTTAAGAAGAGTGCAAGCAGTAGATTTGGAAGAGAGAATAAGTGAGTTAAAGTAAATGCAGAATGAATACAGGAATGAGATAAGAAGATCTAAGAAAGAAAGATGGAGTAACCTGCTTCAGGATCTCGAAAGGGATATCGGGGGACAGGGCTTCAAGATTGTCTGTATCGAATTGAAGGCAAAAAAGATTTTTGTGAGATTTCTAAACAAACTGCTTGAACAACAGTAGTTTCTAACACTGTTAAAATAAGTTAAGGTTGTCCTTCTACCGAAAGGTATAGGTGAAGAGGAAGAGGTACGATTTCGAAATTTGCCTTCTTAGTTCGATAGCTAAATTGTACGAACAGCTTATAAAAGACCACCTTGAGTGAGAGCTAGAAGAAAAGCATGCGCTGAGCGACCTCCAATATGGTTTTAGGGCCAAAAGTTCCACCACAGATACGGTCATAGAAGTACCCTCTTTGGTCACGCAGGATACAAAGAGATGGGTGGCTCTCATCCTGCTCCACAATAATGCCTAATATGGCATCATGTGAAAAAATCATATCCAGGCTAAGAGAATTGGGCGTTACTGAGGACCTGGTCAACGTAATTGACAGATACTTTACTGACAGATCCATAAGAGAAAAAGGTACCAGCATCAGTTTATCGCAGGGTATTCTGCAGATTTAGTATTAGGTCCCATCCTGTAGAATGCCCTGTACGACGGGGTGTTGAGGTTACATATGCCAAGGGAATGCACTCTTGTAGCTTATGCTGATGATTTCGCACATCCAAAATACAGTAGAGAAGGTGAACCAAAATCTGGAGGCGTTAATATGGCTGATGCCAAACATTGGAGGTCCAGCAAGCACCAAAAGAAATGTGCTTAATGGAGTTTTCCAGTCGGTGATAACCTACGCTGCCCCTGTGTGGTGTATTGTACTAAACACTGCGACATACGCTAAACTGATGGAGACTTCGCAAAGGCGAATGCTCCTCAGCGAATCTACCGCATACAGGACAGTTTTAAATGAGATTTTATATGTCATTAGAGCGGTGATACCCATCGTTTTGTTGTGTAAAGAGCGTACAAGGATGTAAGCGAGGAGGATGGGTGTAAATATAGATGAGAATTAGAGAGAAATAACAATAGTAGAGTGGCAGAGAGTATCAAGACAATTACTCTACACACACACACACACACACACACACACACACACACACACACACACACACACACGCACACTACACTAGGTACCTGACTGTAAAAATTCACTGTACCATGCCAATGACCATTAGTTGTCGACGCATTAAACTCAATAAAAAAAAAGAAAAAATTTACTTTTTATTTAATTTACTCTTCTTTTAATTCAATAAATTTATAACAATCAACGAGGATGACCTAGATCGTCTATCGACCACAAAATTAAAAAGATTTAAAAAATAGAATTAAATTGAAATTCATCATGTTTTAGGAATCATATAATATAATGTTCAAGAAGATTGTCACCGTCAATAATATCTAATTATTTCATACTTCTTTTTATTATTACAACGATATTTACAACTCTTCAGAAATTATTTCATATAACTTTTTCATATTCATGTTTTAAAAACATGCTTATATTCAAATTATTGAATTATATAAGCGGTCCCAGAAGTAATAATTCAAATAACACCACATCTGACTAAACTCGACAATTACTTTCTCGTGTAATGAGGTTTGCTAAATGATTAATATCGACCCTTTTCACACCAGCTGTTTGTGTTCGTATTGTAATGTAACTTACTGTTTCCCTCCAGGATAATATATGCACGTGAGATAGCTAGAACTAAGAACTACAGAACAGGATATGCAAACAGCACTCAGTTTTTTAGACTAGATTGGTCTAGATAGTATATGTACATACTATTATTTTTAAAGAAGACGAAAAATCAAAAAAATATTAAAAAAATTGGACATCAAATTATTCTAATTTCAAATAAACAAGCAAAAAAATCTATGGTTAATAAAACAAATATTTATATCCTTTCTGTCAAATTTAAATTTATTTAAACATTGTTCTAATATCTTACCAAATATGTCGATAATACCCTATAGTATCACTGGGAGTTTATTTTTTTTATATATTTATTTTATTTTTCTGTAATATAGCTTTGGCAGAGCCAATTAGCCAGACTTAATTGTGTTTAATGTTAAAATCGACTGAATTTTAATTATTGGTGATTGCAGATTCATAGTCAAAATTTTCTTGTCATAAGTTATCAATATTAGTACTACATATACGGTCCGTCCCAAACCCTTTTTTCAGTGCGTCACTAAATGTGACGTCATATAGGATTTTAAGAATGTCGAAAATTATTGCTTGACATTTTAGTTAAATCTGACAGTTGCAGGATCGTAATCGACTAAATGTGAAAAGGTTATTTTTTTAAATAGGTATGTAGTCTTTGTTCTTTCTCGGTATATCTCGGCATATTTAAAATATTTTTATGACAATAAATACAAAATTAAATTTTCACTGTAAAATGTCTGAAAATACTAACCTGGAATGACAATTATCATTTTATCAGTTGACATTGTGAAAGTATTGTCATGATCAAGATCATGACAATACTTTCCGTAAGTAGAATTCGCATACGTATACATCCGTAAGTAGAATTCACTTTAATATGCAAATACTCGTGAACGATACATAATTTTCTATGTTCTATGTATAATAATCACAGACTCACGTCTTTTTCTGTCACTTCTAGCTTTATGTGTTAGAGAAAATTCGATCAACTATGACGCACTGAAAAAAGGGTTTGGGACGGACCGTACCTAATATTTTTATGGATACATAAATTATATTTTGATATATTTTTTTTGTTCTATATCTATTTTCTTAATTCTTTTGTTTTTTTTATTAATTTGGGTATAATTTTGTTTTTGTTTTTTTTTTGTTTTTTTTTTTTCAAACCATATTAACAGATTATGCCTATATACTATTTACAACTTGTACTTACACATTTTAACATGTTTGTAAATGCAATGACGATTTTCCATATTATTTGAAAAAATTAAAAGATTAAGGTTTATTGGAAAACAACACTTAGAATTTATTAATTCCTTATAAAGTTCGTTTATATTATTAATTTTTAATCACATTCTAATATAATATGTGTTAGATCGCCTATTTTGCCACAAGTACAATTGGGAGTATTTGATAAGCCGACTCCATGCATGTAAGATGGCGTAAGAACATGATTTGCTCGCAGCCGATTAATGATCTTTATAAAATGTCGGTTAGATTCTGTGTAGAACCATCTTATTGAGGGTATCCTAGTGTTATAATGATGAAAGTTTAAGCCAGTATTAAATTATGTGTAATGTAAATGCAAGTTTTTGTCTACTAACGGTGTCAATATCTGTCGCTGGAATTAAATTTTTGTTTACTTTTACTCCTACATATATGCCGATTTAGCCAAATTGTCAACGATCTCATTGCTTTTTATTCCCGAATGGCCCTTGATCCATGTAATTATTATATTTAATCCTAATTGTATAGTTTCATAAAGAATTTTAAGAATTTTCAGTTCAATGTGGTTTATGCGTTTGACTGTTTGAATGTTGTTAAATCTGTCTACCACGCTTACAGTCAGTAAATATAACATAGTTGCTAGTCGGATTCAGTACTACTTGCTGAAGAGCAAACAATATTGCTATCAATTCTGCTGTGTATATTGAGCATTCACTGGGTAAGCTATACTGATGATGGCAATTTTTATTTTAGTGGAAAATTGCACAGCCCGTTCCATTTGCATTTTTTGACCCATCAGTAAAAATGTACTGATAATTTGTCCATTTTTCTTTAATAATTATATCAAACATATTTGGGAGTAAATGTGAGATTAAGTAACATATCCTAATCTTTCTAGAAAATACTGTTTTTTTCCATTTCACCATAGTAGGGCGGAATTTGACTTTTGTAAAGAATATCGTTGTATTTTACAGTACTTACATAGCTTTCTACCAAAGGTATAGATTTTTTAGTTTTCCAGTACCTATGGGTAAGGTCTAAAACTGATAGTTCAGTAAGATCTTAAAGGTATTTACAATTTTTGGACATAATTCGGACTGTAAATTTGTCGCTAAGGAATTGGCGGCGTAAATGCAATGTAGGTTCCACTGCTTCATTTTTCATTATTTGAACTGAAGTAGATTTTAAATAACCTAGACATAATCTCAGGCATTTATTTTTTTGAACTTCAAGTTTGTTTAGATGTGTATTGGCCGCTGATCCAAATAAATGACGGTTATAGTCGAAAATCGGCCTGATCATGTTACGGTAAAACATCAAAGCAATATTTAGGTCTGCTCCCCAATTTGTTTTACAGAAAGCTCTTAAAATGTTTCTTCATAAAACTGATTTACGATTTCTAATGTCTTTTAAATTATCCTCACAGGTACTTAACAATTTTCCTGCTGTATATAAAACAAATCATCAGCATATTGAAGAATATTTGTATGGTTGGGTACAGTAACTTCAAGATCTATGTTACACAGGATATATAAAATCGGGCTTAAAATACTCCCCTGTGGCAATCCAACGTTAGTTAGTCGGGGGCATGAAAATTCCTCATTATTAATTTTTTAAAAAGTTAGTCTGGTAGAATATACAAATTTTAAAAAGAGAGCAAATGATCTAGGGATTCCAGTATACAACATTTTTTGGTAAAGAATGTCTAAATTGACATTGAATTATTAAAAAAATTGTTTTTATTAATGTATAGTTAAAGTGCAACTATGATCCATAATTAAAGAACATAACAATATAACAACTTTGCAATTAATAAAATAGACAATACATTGCATACAATATTCATAATAGACTATCCATTTTTGTAGATATAATCAGTTTGTAAAAAAATTACCATAATATATGCATTTAACGCGATACTTATATTTAATCAACTCAATTGATCTTATTTAATTTTGGTGCAGAAATTATTGGACTATAATTTTAGGGTCTTTGGATAAGAGAAAATTTGGGACCTACAATAAGAAAATCTGCCTTTAAGGATATTAAAATTTTGACTTTAGATGATCAAAGGCCACTTTTAGAAATTTTACCCAAGGTAGGTCTTATTACAAATTTTGATATTTACACAAATTACATGTAATAGAGAATATTTACCGTATATTCCTAAACTTAGACGTAGAGTTTAGTTTTTCTTTCTTTAGTTTATGCAAATGGCTTGTTTCATTTTCATACCTCTGGTTTCTCCATAAGGTATCTTTAAACTTCTTTTAGGAACATTTACAAGACTGGCAGCATTTTTACGAAAAGAATAACAATTTATTGTATCAATAAGATGATACCAACTATTGTACATCAAGAAGATGAAAGAATATAACATCAAACAATAGGTGCCGTATACTTGTTTAGGAATACAAAATTTATGGTTATATTACAAAAAGAGTAGTTAATATTAGTAGACAAAAAAATTAGTCAATGGTATATGTAGAAACTTATCCACGTTTATGTGACATCAAAAGATGAGGAAAGAGAAAAAATATATAATTAAATTAATACAAATTCTGTGTATTTAGTACGTACATGGGGAGAAAAAAGAAGAACATATAAATGTAAATGGAATAAGACCGAACGAATTAAGAGAAAAAATTAACAAAGAAATGTTAGCAATTTATACCAATGCAAACAGTTTAGCCAATACATATGTCACTCTCTTTGTCACATCCACTGTAGGAAATAAATCGGTTAAATTTAGATGAATCGTTAATGTAAAAAAATGAATTGTTGGTCACGAATGGTGCATTAAACACAGAAAGAATGGACACATTTATTGGAAGCCTACAGAGTTTGATGATAAAAATACCTTATTTTTAATAGAATAATTTTGCTGTTCAGGCCGGTAATGCATTTATATCTTAAATAAATTAAATTACTACTGCTTTATATATTTGCTAAAATGTATTCGGTTTCGAGGCCTATAATATATGCCCCATCATTCGGCCACAGTACGAAGGTCTTAGGTTTATTAAAATCCAAAATTGTTTGTTTCATGTTGTTTTAAGCTTTTGGTTTTTATTAAAACTAAGACTATGGCCTGATGATGCTGCATATATTGTAGGCCTAGAAACCAATAATCTACAATTTTACTACAAAAGTTAAAAACTACCTAAGGTTGTGATAAGTGACTATCTCCCATGCACCACTATAATGTAAAATTGCTATGATAGTTACTAAATGTCTGGTAATAATACTAATAATATGTCATCCATAATATTTCCAAAAGACTGAACTATTTTATTTTTAGGTTCTAGCATACCCTAAAACTCTAGATTATATAGACGGAATTGCACTTCAGTTTTACTTTGATTTTGCTAATAATACTTATTTATTGGAGAGAACTCACAAATTATATCCAAACAAATTTATGCTTTCTGTTGAGGCTGCAGTTGGTAAGTAATTTATAATTTTTATTTATTTAAATCACCATAGATATCGTGTATAAAATGTGCAAATAATAAATTTGTTATTTTAAAATCGGTTTTCTCTTTGCGAGCTTCGCCCATTTTACGATCACCTAAATGTCCTACCAAGGGTACTATTCGCAATATGCTAGACAAATTTGAGTCCAATGATTCACCAACAATTATTCAACATTCGTAAGACTGTTAAAGTCATGACCTGGTGAAAACTTCGCCGTTGTTTGTGTTACGTGTACAGGGTAATCTAAGGTAGACAACTTCGTCTCGCTCAAAAGAACTTGATTTTTCACAGACAACAAACTGATGAACTCTGCATGGTGTCTTGATCCTGTACTTGTTAAAAGTCTTTAAAAAAATCCCATGATTCAAAGCTAAATGACCATAAAAAAAGTCGTGTATTTGCCGAACGAATTCCGGCGAAGTGGACCCTTTTTAGATCAATAAGTACGGCAACAAACAGAATTATCAAATTTAGGACGATATCAATCCAGCTAAGATCCAAGAGCGTCTAACGTTTACTGTGGATTTAAGGCTGGAGGAGTCATTGATCCACATTTAAGAAATACGTTGCCTAGACCATTATCTTAAACGGGGAGCTAATAATATAATTATTAACATTATCATCTTGTAAATCATCTTGTAAAATAACCATCCTTTTAAGTTGTTTGTGAAACATGACGTACAGCACTGGCTATAAAGAAAGATAAAAAACAGAACCCAAAATCCACATACATTATGAACTTTTTCTGGAATGGTTAGCGGTCGTGTACCTTCAGCTTCTGGGTTAGTTGAATCTTTACTCATACATAGAGGACCAGAGATGTTACATTTGGAAGTAGCTTATATAATTAAACTAATGAAAGGAAAAAAAGCTGTAAAGTCGAAAAAATTACCTATAGAGTTGATTTCTTCAGAAAAATTTAAATAATTTGGACTAAATCATCAAAAATCATGGACTGAACAGTTGCTTGTTAAAGGAATTCCAAAAATATGTAAGCTGGTTTATATGCACGTGCATGTCATACATTAATAGGATGTTTTCTCAATTTAAACACAATTAAATTGACTTCTGTTTCAAAGTCAGTTACTAGAAACCTGACAACGAAGTAAAATTGACTGTAAAATAGTATAAATTATATTCGCCTTATTCTACTTCCCGAATAAAGAAATAAATATTGGAGAGGAAGTGGTAGAGAAAGTATTAAAGAAACACATAGATTAGAAAGATTACCAGGAAAAGAGAGAATACCAAATAAACTCCTTAATTAGGGAGGACGAGATTTAGCCCAACAACTATTAAAACGAACACAAAAAAACTATAGAACATACAATAACCCCTCAAACTGAAAATCAAGCATCCTAATACCTCTGTCCAAAAAATTAGATAAATCGAACTCGGAAAAGTATAAAGAAATAATTTCCTAAATACAACAGTAAAATTAACAACTTAATTGATCATAAATAAACTTAATGATAATATAACACAAGCAGATGAACAACAAGGTTTTATGTAACAATAAAACACTGAAAACTTTGTTTTCAAACTTCCACAAAATTTATTTTAACTATTATCACTACAGCTGTTTCGGCTGATAGGCTGTAGTTTAATGAAAAAGTATAATTTAGGAGGCTGTGGGTAAACTACACAAACCGGATCACCCAATAAGACCTGTAGTTTCTTTTTATACAGCTCCGTCATATAAACTTTCCAAAAAACTGTTAGACATTATTTTAGAACACACTAAATTTTCACCTAAATTCACCATAAAAAATACAATAGAACTAGTTAATAAAATACAACATTTTCAATTACCTAACAACTCCAGATTAATTTCATTTGACGTAAAAAATCTTTTTCCTAGTATCCCTCCTACAGAAACTTTTATTCTAGTAAAAAACCTTTTAGACCAAAATAGTACAAATCCAGTAATTACATCTGAAATATTACATCTTCTTGAAGTTTGCATAAACCAGGACTACTTTGAATTTAATAATAAAATATATACAAATAACAGTGCAGGACTTATAATGGGTAATCCTCTAAGCCCATTGCTATCAGATATTTTTATTTATCATCTAGAGACAAAGATTTCAAAACATCCCGTATTCAAACAGTTTTTATATTGGTGAAGATACGTAGACGACGTACTGGTATGTTTCACAGGAACTAACAGGCAACTCGACCAATTTTCATCGTATATTAATTCACTTCATAGTCATATTGAATTTACAATAGAAACAGAACAAAATCAATGCATAAATTTTTTAGATTTAAAAATTAGCAGACTTCAAAACAAACATGACTTCTCTATATTTCACAAACCTACCCATACTGACACGACTATACACAATTCATCATCCCATCCAACACAACATAAACTGGCAGCTTATCATAGTATGTTACATAGATTAACAGAAATTCCGATGTCAAAAGACAACTTTGAGACAGAATTAAATATAATTAAGCAAATAGCAGTAAACAACGGATACAACGAACAAACAATTAATAAAATGTTAAATCAAAAACTACACAAGAAAGCCCTGAAAATAGTATTTCCACCACCAGAGAAAAAACCCAGTACCTTCTGATCGATTACATATACAGGCAAAATAACAACAACAATTGCCAAACATATAAAAAAGAAAGGAATAACACCAGCTTTCCGAACAAATAACAACCTAGGTAAATATATTAAAAATAACAAGAGCCAAAATAAAAAACACTTAAATAGTGGTGTGTATAAAATTCAATGTGGCGACTGCCCAAAAACTTACATCGGTCAAACTGGTAGAAACTTTGAGAAACGAATAGCAGAACATAAAAGGGCTTTCAAGAATAGAAAAACAGATTCGACATACGCACTTCACCTTCTAGATCATAATCATTCTTTTAATGACAAATTTAAAATTCTTCACGTTCAAAATAAAGGCCTTAAGCTATCTTTGTTAGAATCTATGGAAATCAATAAATTAAAAAACACAGATATAATTCTGAATGACCAACTTGAGACAAACAGTTCTCCCCTCCTCAACCTATTTCATTAGAGACTATAAATTGTAAACGCATGCCAAAAATAGATCACTTAAGAAAGGCTATCAGCCGAAACAGCTGTAGTGATAATAGTTAAAATAAATTTTGTGGAAGTTTGAAAACAAAGTTTTCAGTGTTTTATTGTTACATAAAATGAATTTCCATGAAGTAACGGTCGAATCCATCAATTATTTAACAAGGTTTTATGTCGGGAAGATCATGCACCGAAGCTTTATTTATAATAAGGCAAGTGCAAAAGAAATCACTAGGATACAACAAATCGGCATATCTATTTTTCTTATACATTACGAAGACATTTGACCAGGTCAAATTAAATGGCGTTATCCACTTATTGTAAACAAGAGAGCTACCTTAAGAAATAATCAAAACGATTAAAAATATTTACCAAAACAACACAATAAAAGCAAAAGTACAAGAAAAACTAACTGACCTTACAGAAGCTGTTAATAGACTAAGGCAGGGAGGTTCCTTAAGTCCCCTATTAGTTAATCTTATTATGGATAAAATAAAAAAAGGAGGAGCTAAAAATGGATACCAAATGGGAGAGAACTACTTAAAATATTCTGCTAT